AAAAAAAAAAAAAAAAAACTACAAACAACGAAAACTAAGAGCAAAGCAAAACTATAAGAGATGAGCACTAGAGTATTCAGTCCAATCTGACAAGGCAAGAATTAGGATATCAGCTTCATTCCTTCAGGTGTTTGAAAAACACTAAGAGGTTACGGGTCTTCCATATCCACCATAGCATGTATGAGGTGAGCTGGAGTCTGGCTACTGAGGTAGGAGAGTGATTGAGAGAGCATACATCTAGCCACAAGTTGTTGAAAGTGCATTTTAGCTTGCAGATATTTTCCCACTGAACATCTGATAACTTCCATATAATTTGAGCTGTTCTACAATGAAAAAAAGAAGATGATCTTGGGTCTCAGGCCCTTCTCCGCATGCTTTGCAAATGATGTCCACTGGCAGCCCTTTGCTCCTCAAGTTACTATTCACATCAATATGTTGTTCATAGCTTTCCATAGAAGATGCTTGATCTTTCCTTTGATTTTCAGCCCCAACTTCTCATTCTTGCTTTTTTGAGCCTTTGATGGTCTCTGCTTGTACCTGGAGTGTCTAACTTCAAACATATTCCCAGAATCTACTCCTTGTAAGAGGAGACTACATTAAATGTCCCTTTATGGTCCTATATCCAAGTGAGTGTGTCCTTAGCCGTGGGGTCCAATCCTTCTATACCTAAGATGGCTTGAGCTTCAGTTGTTGATAAGCAGTTGTCAATCAGGTTCATATTCCATCTTCTGCCCCGTTCATCCATTAGATCAACAACCAAGTTAGGTCTTTGTCCCTTGATTGTCTGTTGTGCAATCTGTGCCCAGGTAATGTTGGAACCCAAAAATGGTCCCATATTTTAACTGATAGTTGATTGCATTATCGAATAGTTGTCTATTGTGCTAGCTAACGTGTGGTTCCATGGATGGCTATTGTATTATCTAATTTGACTAAGTGATATTGCATTTGTTAACGAAGGATTGTTAACGATTCTTATTTACGGGATTAAGAGTAACTAGGATTTGATTTTGTGAAAGATCGACACGATTTATGTTATATTTGTAGTGTAAGAACCGAAAAAGTAAAGCACACACGAATACGCCGATTTGTTGGGAGATCGGTGAGGAGAATGTTTTCTCCAAAAGTATGATTAGAAGAGAGTATTTTGTTACAAGGGTGGCTCTTGTTTGAGCTTTCGTGTGTTCACGATTGTTCTTGTGTTTGCTCATGATGATATATGAGGTGCTAGGTGCTTCGTATATATACATAAAAAGGTGGAATGTAGTTATCATAATATTCAAAATCGGACAGGACCAGCCGGTTCAACCGGTTGGACTGAGAACCGACCTTCATTCCGGTCTAATTTGGAGCATAAAACCAGCAGGACTGAGATCCGTTCCAAAAACATTCAAACCGGCCAAAATCCAGTTGAACCGATGAACCAGAACGAGTTTGAACGGTTCAACGGTACTAGGATTAGAACTTATGAGAAGTTGATGGTAAACTCATTTAAATAGCACACATTTTTTACTTGTCTTTCCAATGTGGGATATGTTCACAAATAAAGGCTGTTGTGAGTATTTTTACCGGAGTAGAATCGAAAGATTCAACACCGGGTCTTATCGCAAGGAAGGTTAGCCGGATTCAATTGCACGATTATTCAATCACGAAAAAGAGAAGAAAAATTCCTAAACACTCTATTCGAATTGGTTTGGTTTTGATTATCAACTAAGAAACTGAGCTAATGAAAAGCAATTAAAATAGCAGAGATATTCACGCAATGATTAAAGAGCTAGGGAATCGGGGATAATTGCTTCGGTTCTACCACAGCTACCGGCAATCAACTGCTCGGTTTATGGACCTGAATTGCTTCTCGTTCAGAGGTTCACTCTCAATACAGTTACGAACAAGAGAGTGGATGTAAACGATTAACTATCAGTTCCCGCAACGCATAGACAATACAGTTACGAACAAGTCTACTCTAAACAAGTCTATATCGACCAACGTCTCCCCTCTCAGTTCCACACGTTGATTAGTTAGGTTAAACAGGCGATCAATCTATTAACCCTAGAATAAGCATAACTTGAATAGATATGAACAATCAAGAACTAGCAATTATTATCGAACCTAATCAATCATCCCCTATCCCTAGCGTATGGATTTAGCTACTCATGTGGAATTGAACAAGAACAATCAAATTAACCCAAGCCATCATCATCAACTCAACAATTGAAGAATATAAGAACTTACGATTAAAATAGAGAATCCCAATGTTGAAATCCACAAGCATCCAAATCCAAAGCGGTAAATAGGAGTTTTTCAATCTCCAATACGAATCAAAAGCGTAAAAGTAATGAACAGAGTGAGTTTTCTAGAGAGAATAATGTAAAAAACAAGGTCTGGAAGGTGAATAATGATATCTAGGTCGAAAATCTGAACTTAAAATCCCGTCCTCGAAAATCGCGCCGATCAAATCGCGAGTCGCGACTTCCAGTTTTGCCAAGTCGCGAGTCGCGAGATCTCGCGAGTCGCGCGTCTTCGAAAAATATGTAAATTCTGGGGAAACTCGCGATCTAACTCGCGAGTCGCGACATCGACTCGCGAGTCGCGGCTCTTCTCGCGAACAGCTCCTTTTCGTCTCTGTTGGACTCGCGAGTCGCGACTTCCTCGCGAGTCGCGTCCATCTCGCGAGTCGCGACACTGACTCGCGAGTCGCGAGTTGTTCTGAGCAGCTTTTCGGTCCGTTTTTCCGGTCCTTCCTTCAGTATTCTGAGCACGTTAATGGGTCTTCTTGATATCCCGGTCTCAGCTCAAGTAGTCCCGTCCTCGATCGACACAACCTACCTCCTGAAAACACAAACACGAAGAAAACACGAAGCAAAACACAGTAAAAAGACGCACATAACGAACTAAAGAGAGAAACGGAAAAATCACAGAATTGGACCAAATAAACTACGAAAATCCTATAAGTGGGGAAAAATAAAGAGAAAATAAAGCGAAAATAAAGACACAAAAATGGGACAAACAACTCCCTACAGTAAGACCTTTGTTCGTCCCGAACAAAAAGAAAAGAAAAGAAAAGAAAACAAATAAA